CTAAAAAATATAATGTAAAATCGTATTTACGATTAAGAGCGCTAATATAATATTTTACACAACAAAATGTTTTAATATTATATAATTTTTACAACACCAATAAACTTCAAACGTTTGTGTATAGACTGTACAAAATAAATATATTCAAAATACAAGAAATTCCTTCAGCAGTGATCTGTGAATCCATGCCAGGTATTTAGTAACAAACTCCATGTTACACAGTCTACATGGAACAATCAAAAGTTGTTCAGCTAGTGAAGAAATTAATTGCTTTTATGGAAACAAAATATTCATCATCATGTTCAAAAAGTCCATTATTTTTAAACCAACTACATCTAGTCCACATTTTTAAATATTACATATCTAGATGTGCCATTTTAACATCATTCTTCCATCTACCACTAATTCTCATAGTTAAAACCTTCGAACAATTTTTTTCAGACGAAAATATTGAATGCACTTCTCTTTATCTCCCTGAAAAGTGTTTGTCCTATCCATCACATTAATCTTTATTTCATCATCACAACAATATTACAGAGAGGCATATGCAAATGGGAGGATAAAATATTAATGGAACTTAGAAAAATGGGGTCTAGGGTTTGGACCGGATTAAATTATGGGACTTTTGTAAAAATGGTACAGGCAACTCTCGGTTTACGAACGAGTTCCGTTCCAAGACGTTGTTCGTTATACGTTTCTGCTCGTTATGTGTATCTTGCATTCCTGAGCTATTACGATACGTATACGTTAGCACCCATTTTAAAGCATTAAAACCGTGTACTAAACAACGAATGGTCTATATAATAAATTTTATTATAATGTATGTATGCGTTATGTTTTATCAGTACCAGCACTACTATTACGCTGTGGACCCATGATCGCTTAAATTTTTAAAAATATATTTTAAAGTCACCAAATGCAGAACTACAATTGACCGTCTATGATAACCTAGGCAAAGGGGGAATCACCTATTTCTTTCCCGCGAGAAAATATTCTGGCATGTAGAACGTCTTTTACTGGCTAGATTAGTTTTAATATCCAAGAACGGTTCATTATAAATATCAAGTAGTAATTTTCTGATAATTATTGTAATAGATACATTTTTAAAAGTCTATTTATTTAAATGTTGCAATTATGTTCGCTATACCTTTTAATTTCGTTTTATAAGGAACTCCATCTATTGGCGAATTTAAGAAATTTTGAATGAATTGTGACGTTCGTTATAGCGAATGTTCGTAAATTGAGCGTTCGTAAACCGAGAGTTGCCTGTACTTGTAATTTTTTGGTGACATAAAATTTTGTATTTTTTATCAGCTGTCTAACTATGGAATTTTGAAAACTGGCCCTACATGGCAGAATTAGATAGATACAATATTTTCTATCTAATTCAAGTCATCATGTCAATGTCAATACACAGTTTATTACCTATTCAGTGAGTGATTGGGAAGACAGAGACGACTACTCACAGAGTCCATAACAAATGACTAAATGTTTTCTGTATTCTATGTGACATATCGTCGTGGTACAAATACATTACTATTAATGCAAAACTCATCTGTGATGTTTTTAGACTGTTAATGTAACAACTGAAAAGAAATTCTATTCAGTTGTTACCGGTTACAATAACTTTGAAGAAGAAAATATTTTCTCAAATCCTTGAATCACAGAACCAGTAGGCGTGTTAGAAGCTTATTTAAATGATATTAAAAATGGGTAGGTGCTACCATCCTCCAAGGAAACACACTCAATTTCTATAACAGTCAATTAATCACGAAAATTATCATTGCTCTTTGTGAGGACAAATCAAAATCCAAAAATGTCCTGTGGATGAGATACCCACTTACTGAATAGTATAATGGATTTTGCATGACATCACTACCGTGATCATATTATTTTTCTAATTAAGGTCAAAAACAGTGGTTGGAGAAACTGATCTTTCATTATCCCGCTTTCTTTATTTAGAGAAGTTTCATTAACCGCACAAATTCCCAGTGCCAGGGTAAAATGATATAAGTTCAAAAATTACAATAGAAGTATGATTGATACTTCATATTACCTTCAATTTCAAAAAACTTTCACTTCAACCTCATGACTAGGTGTAAATTGTACAATCATATCAATATAAATTTTTGGAAATATAGAAAAACGTAATTGTAAGAATTGCCCAAAACTGCTGATCCTTTGGTGAACTCTTACGACTTGTACACCTTCACCCCAGTACCGGTCAAAATATACACCATGCTACACATTTTATTTTTGGATAATTTTAATATCATACATAAACTGAAAATAAGTGAAATATTTAATACAAGATTAGAATAAGAGTTTACTTCGAACAGTTTCCAAATATGTTCTTCGCAATTTTGCCTACTGCAAGAATCATTATGTTAATTTATTGCAGAAAAATGTCTGTTGTTGCTAAATTTAAATAAGCTACACATACAACTACATAGTTCATTGTTCCTTGTACTTTTAAACACATACTGCACCATTCTGAAAAAATACATTAAATAAAAATTGTAGATGTTAAAGAAATTTAGACTATATTGTATATCAGCGTAGTAAAACTGGCGGCCCGGGAAAGTACTTATTAATTTGTTACCAATTAGTATAAACCCGTATTTTTCGAAGTTGATATTCCGTCACTGGTAAAAGAACATTCTCTTCAGTGCTCTCACTAAAGACATTGACTTTAAAAGCATAAGATGCACCTTCTACTGGTACAAATTGTTACTATATCAGATGCAAACTGTTAAGATAGCGGAGTTAAAATAATTTGTATAAGTTTACCAGGCAAAAATTGTGAGAGACACAAGCTGTTGCAGGAGCAAATTTGAAATAATATACAACTCTATAGTAATTTGTGCACATTTAAATAACATTTATATTTCAGCATATGCAATGATAATTTGTCATTTCTCAATAAGTATTATCAAAGACAACGACAATGAGAAAATAGTGACAGTAGGGGTTTCTTGGCCCTTGGGTCCAACAGGAAAATTATTCTGGACCACCCTGTTGTATATTATTGTACGTATTAATGTTATCGAAAATAAACTAAAGTACAAACAGTGAAATGTCGTAATGTTTTCGGTAGAGGTAAAAGAGAATCGTAACTTACCACCTTCATGATGAATAGTCTATAGCTGTGACTGACGAAATCGGTAAGTGTTCGATTGCCCAGAAGAAGGTCTGCTGATGCTGTACAAAGACACAAGTAAACTCCTCAGCTTTTATACTTTTCCAAAGAATCCTCCCCTAAAAATATCACTCCCTCTCCCTAAGCCCTCTTGTAAAAAAAAAAGAGCAGACACCACCCTACATTTAGCAAGATGACCACGCCTGCTTCTACGGACCCTTGACTAGGTTACCAGAACAAACATGGCAGAGAACTTTTCTGCCTGCTTGAAGGTAGACAATAATTTAAACGTTTAATGTTAAAGACATCTGAGTTTGGAACGGTTAGGGGCAGAGGGGAAGGACGCTTGATGGTCCCATATATTGTCTGTCTTCAGCTTCAAGGTCATGGCAGTTGTGGTGTTCTTCTTCGATTGGTGCGTCTTCTGAAGTGGACGCCTCAGCAACAACAGCAGAAAGAGAATATAGTACCGGTTTGAAAACAAAAAGAAACTATAATTTTGATGGCATCGGTTATCTCTTGGCAATAACAACAGTCGCCATTTTAATTTCTTAAGTATGGGCACGTGATTTTGAACATACAAGTTGTGCCATTTAGCTAATTTGTTTTCAGTTTAAACAGACAAGTATCTGCTCTCTTTTCAGCATAAAATTCTGTCTACAATACTATATTTGTAACCAGAATCTCCTTTCAGAAGGTACACAGTAACATGGCATTATTGTTATTTGTGCTTAATTAACGACGCTGTCAGTAGCTTAGACTATACATCTGTGGATGATTAATGAATTGGAAGGTACATGGAAGGAAGTTTTCATGGCATAGAGGGTAATGAAAAAACACTTAAATCCTCAGTTAGTGTTGCCGGTCTCCGGGCTCAGATTTGAACCCGGGACCTCCTTAATACAAAACAGAAGAACGGCTCACTCACTCATAATATTCGGTCCATAGTGATATATCGTTACCAAAACATTTATTTATAAATATAAAAAGAGGTGTAGTGTAACTGTGGTAGCGCTCACATGTGAATTTCAACCCTAATTTTCTGCATTTTAAAGATTTATTTTGTCACAAAATTTAAAGTACCACGCTGGTAGATCTGAGTTTCAACATCTATCCTTCTTAAATTTTTACACAAGAGAGGACGAGGTTCATGGTGAAGTTCTTTTAATATAATATTCTATAAGTGATCATCAACATCACCATCATTTAAAACGTATACTTATGTCAAACGGAGTTTTACTGATCTTTATCGTGAAATCAGAAAATTCATGAATAAAATGGGAACAGCCCTAATTTCAAAAGCTCATATAGGATAACAATATAAATCAAGAATGGATGGATCATACTTGAGAAAACGACGGCTCCATGAAGATTATAAAAAAAAGTTTTTTATATATGAGATAAATTCAAGGTGAAACACGGTGCCAATAACTTCGGAGCACTGATCCAAAGACAACCTTGAGACTCCGCTATGCATAGAACTCGAGCGATTAAACTAGTGAGCTCAAGTCATTTCCATAGACGCTTATAAAACTGAAACAACGCTAGTGGAAGATGTTCACGTGATTTCCACAAACCGGCCTCCCTCCACGTCCCTCCCTTCTCTTTGACTCCACCTCTCCAATTATCGATTACTTCATGTCTGAACTGTGGTATAAACAGCTAATCAAGAAACTCTTTCATTAGCTTTTTTCTTTCTTTCTTTCTTTCTTTCTTTCTTTCTTTCCCTCCTTCCTTTTTTCTTCCTGTCTATCTGTCCATCCACCAATCTTTCTTTCCTTTGTGTCTTTGTGTGTATGTTTGTTTCTTTCAAAATTTCGGATGTATTATTCTGAAAACCATCAGAAGACATTGAATTTAAATGTGAGAAACTTTGTACCATTTGGGCCAGTTGTTCATGATCTTCTGATGCAGAAACGCTGGGGAAAAAAGGATATTTTTAAATCAATATAACCAGGGAAGTTATGAGAAGAATTCATTTTCAGTCAATTATTGAGTTTACACGGAAAAATTTGTTAAACGGGAAAGGAGAGACGTTTTGGCCGTCAGGATCCACGACTTCCAACCATGGCACGACCAAAATTTTCAACACGCTAATTATAATTTTGTCATCCTTAACAAGAATTACACGACGTAATCAAAACCAAGGTTAAATACATGCCTCGTTTAGAAATAATCCAACGATACTTCTTTCGTTTTTCTGAAGAAAAGACAATCTGTCTGGTTCGCCGTACTCTATAGGCAACTTCTTTGACATGTCTGTGAAGCGCGTTGTTTCATCAATCTGAGAAAGGCGAACGGCGAAGTATGAACTTTTTGGATGAGTACAGCAGACAAACGAGGTCATCCAATTTGGTCACTGGGCAGGGAGCCAACGTCCCCTCAGAAGGGGGGGGGGAGTTACGAAATGTTACGCATGTGTGGACTTTCCAAATAACACGCTTTTCAAGTAAGACAATTCCACGGTGTTTGTTAGTTAACATTAATTTTCACGTTTGTACCATTTTTTCTCATCCTTTTTCGTCTCGCATTCTCCCAGTTTTGTTTACTTAAACAGAGTGCAGACGTGTGTTTCAATGGAGTACGAAAAAGTTGTTGGTTTGATCCTCATTTATTGCAGACACACATGTCATGTGCAAAGACAATGAACAGCACACATGGTGATAACCGTCTTCTGTGTTGTGACGCCGTGTGGTCTTGTAGGCTGATACCGTCATTTCGGATGACGTATTTCCTTTTCACCTTGAAGATGGAGGCGATACGCTCCTCCAAAAATTCGATAACAAGACTTCACAAGATCACAATTCAAAAGACCACCATCGACATTTTCAACACCGTTAAAACCTCAGTCTCAGTTTAAATAAAAAATTATGCAGTGTAACTAGAAAATTACTTTTCTCGTATTGAGACGTTAATGCCTTAAATTATTTTAAATAATGTTTCAAATACAAGTTTTCGACCTGTTATATTGCAGAAGATAACAGGACTATTCATGTGAATTTTAAAATCAGAAATTGCAATGAAAACCAAGACAGAATATTTATGATATCCGTAAAAAAAGCATGTAATCACATGACGCTCGGTTGATTTCACTACATTACGAAGCTGGTGATTTGAACGTCCGCATTTTGAAGGAAATGCAGCTGTACATAAGATTACAGATGAAAAAACAAGGATTTCTATGTAGGTTACTTAAGATAAATGCGGGCAAACTACGGCTTCGAAAATTACCCGCTGAACAACAACCAGAGTTTATGATACCCTATTACTAAAATATTCATTTTGTACTTCTGTACACTATTACGTTTAGTTAATGCAAATATTAAACCGTTTTTGAACAAATGAATTTTATCGCGATATTCTCACGACCGCTGGTATTTGAAAATTAAAAAAAAAAACAGTCCCCTTAAAAATAAATTATTGTCCGCTTCGCGTGTCAGGACGCACGTGGGAGCAGCCGCTGCCTTGTTTGTAGTAGCACACTCACCCCAGAGCAGGTTCCGTGTTGTACACTCCCAGAAGGTGTGCAACTGCTGTTTCAATGCCAAGAGGTACTGTATAGCCTATAACCAGTTAAAAATAAGGTCCGATAAGTTTATTGTGGGACGTTTATATTGTTCTTCTTCTTTTAATTAACAACACAATTTTCAGGTTTAATTTGACTAAACGGGACAAATTTATATCGATTATACACCTGAAGATGGTTCATTGAAAACCGAAACATGTCGTGAAAATGATGATGCTCTAATTGTAAATCGAACATTTCGATAGAAAGAGCATCATTTTAATATATATTTTAATATATTTTAAATATTTTAAATATTAAATGTTAATTATAGTAATAATATTTTAATATTTAATAAAATATTTTATTGTGATTAGACGGTTAAAATAAACAATTATAATCATCATAATATGACGCAGCAATATCACCTCATAAACGGGACAATAAAATAATTTCCAAATGTGTCCTGTGCCTCGTAAATCAGAAGAAAAGAAAAGAAAAGAAAAGACCGACTGTCTCTCCGTGCACACTTGGATCGCGTACCTCCGGCCCACCATTACGCCTACTTCTTCGGCGACAAGTCTTATAAAACAGACAGGACGTGGAGAAAACATGTTTGGAAGTTTCGTCCTACGCAGTCTTACCACGAGGCCACTGATTTAGTGTCCTGTTAAGAGTCAATATATCGTTTCTACATCTATAGTTACATAGTGAAGAGAATTAAAGAAGCAGATTTGTGGTATTCGATATTTGTCAAGGCGTGGATATTTCTTGCTTTCCTCCCACGACCTTTTACTGTTCTGTACATACTAAATCTTTAACAAGGGCGAGGTGGAGGGGAGGAATTTACTGTAAAGCAAGATCAAGTTTGAGGTTGGACAAATCGAATCTCAACATGGAGGCTGATCTGTTCCATTGTACATGTCTTGAGCACAAGGCTGACCGGCGAGACGGCACGGACCTGGTCTCCGTTGTCACCACCGGGTGTTTCTCAACCGTCTACACGCTTTCATACAGAAACGACATACTGAGTAAGTGAGAATCTTACGGTCCATTGCATAATAATTCTTGGATATTAGCGGAGCTTGATCAACCACAAAGGTTATGTAGCGTCGAAAGGTACGATGATGTGTGAATTAAAAATGTGGAAGGGAGTGGTCGCGGTTTATTTTTGAAAACATTATCACAGTATTCGCCTGGAAGGACTGTGTAAAACTGCGAAACACCTCAATTAGGGAATCCGACCTCCGGTCCAAGGTTCGAAGACGGGGCCTACAGAATAAACAACAGGCTCAACAACACGGTGAAAGAGATTGCCTCTTCCTGCATGGTATGGACAGGCCGAGCGGATGGAATGGGTGAAAACCATGGGCAAAAATAGTATGGCATTATGAATTAACAAGGCGAAAATTAAAAGAATGTTGGGGAAAAAATGGGAGGCTGCTACAGGAGCAAAGTTAAGTAAATATTATATCAAATCTAAAACTTCTTGACGATGGTGAAGAGTCAATTGAATAAAAATTTCCTTGGATATTATCCATCGTCTAGTAAATATAAAACGTAAAAAAACGACGTTTCGGAGATGGGACTCTATCTCCGTCTTCAGGTTTCTACACAGTTGGGCCCACTAGATAGAGCTGGTCCGGAGATAGTGATTCGTAAATATTAATTTGTTAGTAATTAGATAACTCCATGTCACAAAAAAACGTTTCTCGTAATTTTATCTACTCCTTCCATGCAAATGTTGCAAAAATAACTAAACGATGGAACACACTACTTTCATATCCTTCCAAATTCATTAACTTGTTCACAAACGTTTTTCCATTCGATGCCACGTGCCTTGAGCAGTTCAGTATGCATCATTAAATATACTAAAAATGAAACACGGCATTAACTACTGGATACGACTGTACACGTTTTTCAAAAGCCCATCGCTCGAGGCTAGGAGAGACTATGGTAATACAAAAATGAAAACAAAAGAGTGTTTGCAGCGGCTACGTTAACGGTTGTAGCGTAGAGACATGATTGGTTGCGGAATTATTTAAAAAGCAGACCTGAGAAAAACAACTAGGCCTGTCCTATTGTTGGGGGATAACGTATTCAACATGGCGTCTGGAATTCAAGAGCATAAATCTTCAGAAGACGCAAATAAACGATCTTGAACCTCAACAACTTTTATCCAGTCATCATAGTTATTTGTATGTAGGCCAAAATCTTTCGAAACTTAAAGGAAGATCAAATGATATTTGGCATATTGACCGTTCAAATTAATTCAGTGAAGGGAATAAAAATTGGACACGTATTTGCAGTAACGTCTCGTAATTATCATGTAGGCCTGACCGCAAATATTCTTAACGATTATATCGATATTACAGGAAACTAATAGACATACAAATGAATTTAAAAGAAGAGAGATGTGAGAAGTAAATCTTATTATAAACCCAAAAATAACCTTTTATTATACTTCGATTAAGGATAAACCTTAAATAAGACGTTTCAGTATAAGATAAATGTTTTACTAAATGTACTTGATGAATGTTTAAAAATTCGCTGGATTTGTTGAAAACAAATAAATTTACTTTCACAATTTGTTCTCATTGGTCAGCTCAGATTCCATCCACTGGTGAACCTGTCAGTTCTGTTACTCTGCACACACTGTACAGATTAAAGGCTCCAGACTACAAACCTGTTCTAAACCTTGATTTGGCCGGGATTCAAGGTTATACTATCTATGGACTGGTCACTCCTTTACGAAAAAAATGTAATATTTGGTACAGTCACCTGTACGTTGATTTGCTGTTTCTTCCATACAAATAAATGCAATGACACATTTATTAAAAAGATATAAAATCATCTGAAGGAATGTTACATTCTATAAAGTTACGAGACACTCAATAAAGAACCATATTCTTGTAGATTATTGGAACCAATTCTGATACTAACACTCCGATCTTTTATTAAAGAAATAAAGTGTAACAAAAAGATGACTACCTTTTGGAATTTTTTGCAGCGTAGTGTGATAGGAACTAACCGGCATTTCATAGGTTTTACTGCCATACAATATGGATGGCCCCGAATCGCTGATAATCCTCGGTTTAATTTATTCTGGTACGCAAATTCCAGTTAAAATCGTAGAGTTTGTGTGCGTGCATATGTGTAATGCCACAATATTATATTTTACAACTAGCGACATTTTTATTTATTTATTTATTTTAGCTAATAAATAGTTCGGATTGTACATCACTACAATTTTTTGCAGAGCTGCGTTACGTACGTCGACTACGTTTACATTTCTCTTTGTTATAGGTGTATTTTGGCAAAACATTTGCGACCCACTTATGCTTTACCTTTACCTTGAATCAGAACATTCTTAATACCACTTTGACATTAAATTAACATTTTTCGCGCTACGCACGAGCGATCTCACTTCAAAACACCGATCCTTCGAGCCTGGTTTATTTAGTGCAATGGTATTCAAACTTTTTTTGTTCGCGTACCCCCAGATATAATTTCTCTTCAAATTTGTACCCCCAGAGTTGTTGGTGTATAATTCAAGTTATACATAGTATATAATCTACATTTAAAATAAATTAAATAAATTACATTACTGATTATTCAGTGTTTATCATAAAATAATATTTTTTTTAAAATTTCACGTACCCCTTAAGATGTCTTCGCGTACCCCCGAGGGTACGCCTACCCCAGGTTGAATACCACTTATCTCATCGCCTCCACTATTAAGCTATTCCTGGATTTTAAACAATAAATCTTGCACTTTACTATCGAAATTTTCTAACAGAAGAAGGTTTTTGCAAAAAGAAAAAAGAAAGAAAAAGAAAAAGAAAGGGTTGAAAGTAGTCCGATAAGCCCTGATATATAACAAACAATGTAAATCTATTTTATTCCATATCAGTGTTGCCATCTACCAGCTACTCAATAAACCGTCAATAACAGACCACGCATTTATAAAACATTCCATCGTCAATACATTCTTCTTGCCTTGAATTCCCGCCAACTTCTTTTACACTTACAAGTGACCGACCATCTGTGCCACTGCAATATATTATAAAAAAATACATGAATTTGTCATATAAGGAGGTAGGTATAGGAATAAGAATAAGAACTGAAGCTGTTTTCATGGCCTTGAAATTCTTTTCTCTTCGTTCTTAGGTATTTAGCTTCAATAGCAATATAAATGTGGTTGAACTGACAAATAAGAGTAAGAAACTTGTATCTAACGATAAGAGTTAAAAGCTGTGAGGTCTGCGAAGAAAAGAAGACGACCCTCTATTACAAGAGCTTCAGAGAAACAGTTTAGTTGTAGTTTCTAACCATATGAAAGAAGTGTATTATCTGAAGTCGCTTATAGTTACAGTTTGATTGCATCAACCAACAAGAACGTGTTTCTCATTTCTACTCCAAAGACATTTTACTTCTCAAACAGATGGAAACAATGAAGTATTTACAACTGGTAAGTAATCTATAATTTCATAAGATAGTGTAATTGCGTCATATTGTAAATATTATATCAATTGTTTATTTTAATCCGTCTGATCACAATATAATTTTTATTTAAAATTTCTTATAATTAAGATAATAAAATATCATTCATGTTCCATATCGATTGATCGATCGATCAATCGATCAATCGATATGGAACATGAATGATATTTTATTATCTTAATTATAAGAAATGTTCCATATCGATTGATCGATCGATCAATCGATCAATCGATATGGAACATGAATGATATTTTATTATCTTAATTATAAGAAATGTTCCATATCGATTGATCGATCGATCAATCGATCAATCGATATGGAACATGAATGATATTTTATTATCTTAATTATAAGAAATTTTAAATAAAAATTATATTGTGATCAGACGGATTAAAATAAATAATTAATCTATAATTTGTTTAATATTAACTAACACTTGCTTGTACCGTCGTATATGCCTCACTAATACGTGATGTATGAAACAGCTATTATTTTGGTAATTACACATTCTGTAAAGAGTATCCTGAAAAACAAAACGACAGCAAATTACACATCACAGTTACAACGTATGGCCGCCTACATAAGAAAAAGAAATGCGAGGGATTACATATCCTGTTATAAAAGCATTAGGACTGACGATATCTTTAACATGTGTTCATATTCTACGTGAAGTGATAGTTGTAAATGATAATAAAAATAACAGCAATGACAATAATAATCAAGTATCTGTATTATTTACCACGCGTCAAAATATGTTTGATATAAATGACAAGTGTGTGTGAACTGTCAGACCTGATTAAATGAGATATGTAAATACGCGATTTCGAAATTGCATCTTTAACTTCCACGTTTACTTATTACAATTTGCACCACATAAGTTTATACAACCGTTAGGCTCCTTAGAACCCAATAAAATGAATAGGTAAATTCAGGCAATTCGAATAAATATTATGTAGGCCTACAAATCTCTTTAGCCTCGATTATACAAATATCTAATGTGTAGACTCACTATATAAAGTAATAAAAAAACCTCAGAAAAAGGTAATTCCGTTCGCATTTCAAGGCAATGAATATTTTTTAAAATTATGTTGTATTGTTGTGGAGTGTACAGTCTTACCCTGATTAAATTAAACCAAGTATAAGTGCATGAAAACAAAATGTAGTGAAACGCACTTTAACCTAAGAGAAATTAAATAAGTGAGAAATTAGGATATTAGTCTAAGCAACGATAAAATCGGTGGTCAAAACAGGTCGTACAATATTGAAAAGGAAGAAATGCATGAGAATTTTTGTGGGGAAAACTCTTGAAAACTGGAACTTGGAATATCGGGAAGGAGATGAGAGGATATCATTAATATGTATGTTAAGGGAAACAGGTTGTGAGGGTGGGATGTGGATGAAACTGGCTCAGGGTCGCGTTCATGTTCGATGACATCTTTAGAATTGGCGTTGTTAAATTCCCGGGTTCTATTTTTAACATTGTTGGTGTAAGTTTAATTACGTATTTTGCCGAGTATAGTAGATAGTGTCGGTTTCTGACTCCAGATGTCACGCCATTTACTCCAGATGAGTCCATGTGAGGTTTATGGCTGACAACGTGGTGCATTTTTATGTTTCTATCCGATTATTTTCGCCATTTATTATTCCATCAAATCTCAATATTAATCTACCATCACCTCGTCACAACAGGCTGGTACAATCGGCCTATTTGAAGCCGTAATACCACAGGACTCACTCTCACCCACTCCCGCCCTTTATTTGAATCTGACTTTTGTTTCCGCGCAGGTGTCGACTTTTCTGACGGTCAGTGTTTACGGAGCACCGCCAGTGTTCGTGGTGCAGCCGTTGCTGATTGGCAACGACGCTCAACTGGAAGCTCTTCGGGGTGATGTAGGGTTAGTGCTGTCTCCCATTGGAGGACACGTGCTCGTAGTGGCTTCTTCAGCATCCACTGCGGAACACCAGTGGAAGGAAGAAGCATCTGAGCAATACGACGAGGGCACTGAGGAAAACCAAGACTGGAAGGAAGAAACCGAAAACGAAGAACAAAGTAAGGAAGAACCTGAAAGTAAGGCATATTATGAAAATGGAGATTATTCTGATAGGAAAAAATCAGAAGAAAACGATTATTACAGTGAAAAATCTTATGAAGAATCTACTACAAAAAATCAAGAGTTAGAAGAATCAAATGATTACACTGAGGAAAATGAAGCTGAATCAGAGAACTATGGGAAGGCAGAGGAATATGAAAGTAAGCCTGATTATGGTTCAGGCGAAAATAAAGATGGCGAAGAGAATTCGACTGAAGACTCTTATGACAAAAACGAAGAGCCAACAAATGAATCAGAAAGTAGAGAAGGGAAATCAGCAGGTGGTGAAGGCAATGTGGAAAACAGTGAATCAGGAAATTATTATGAGAAATCCCTAAATTATCAGAAAGAAAATGGAGAAAATCAGAACTCAGTTCCTGATACTGAATCAAAAAGGCAAACTGTAGAAGTAATCAGTGATCAGAAGATTGTTCAAAGTGCAGACAATGATGAAATCGCTTCAGTTAATGAAACACGTAAGAAAGATGACAAATCAATCAATCCAATTTATCAAGCAAAACCTATTCACGTGCTTGAAGACATTGTGGTGGGATCCATAAACAAGTCAAAGCTGGAAGATTCCCAAAATCAGGACGCTACAAATACGAAAGGTTCTCAGGATGAAAGCGACGCCAAAGACTCATCTGCGGTCCTGACGTCGAGCCCACCTCCGAAGGAAACAGAAGAAGTGCAGCTCTCGCCAGTGGTGTATCATGTCAGTCCAAAATTGCTTCAAATCGCGCCTGTTCAAGTTATGGGACTGTAACGGAAATCATAGACAAGTGATCCTCTTTGGGTGAAACAAGGGTACATTTTATTTCGAGAATCTGCTTACATTATTGACAAATCGTGTGCCAAAAAATTATAGTATTAAAATGCCATTAGTAAGTATGTATATCAATATTAATCGGAAAAAAATATTGTGCTCTATCAATAAGAATCAGAAGGGACAGATCGCCAGATATATTACTGATAAACTCTAACATCTGTAATTACTAATTTCCATTTATAATATAAAAACAGAATGTGTCAGAGGTTAGTACACCAAATGAAATTATGGAAATGAAAGAGGAGATATGGCTGGGATGAGATAGGGGCCCGGGAATTGGAAAGGTGCAAAGGGGAACTGGAAAATTGTTGTGTCGTGCCTTCTGCGTGGAGGCCAGAATGAGATTAAACACATTAACATAAGTTTGACAAATTCTGACGGGAGAGCAAATTTAAAATTCGGGAAATATTACAAACAAGCAATAATTTCCCTAAGATCACTAATTATAACAACAAATGCATTCTCAAATGCGTAAGATAAAACCTGTTCAAAGGAATTAGAGAAGAAAGACGTGCATGTAATCTATAAATAAATCTAACAGGAAAAAGTAAAGAAGAGGATGGACTGCAGAAGAGTGGAGTGTATCAAACCTGTTCAGCAGAAATTAAGGTCTCTTACGTGCTGTACTAAGAGCAGGGCCGGTCCAGCAACAACCACAAACAACGCGGATGCCACAATTTCGTAATGAACTACACAATTCAGTAAACTCAGAACTAAACTCTGACACATCGCTTGGCTCTTCACATGCTCGTATTAGCTGCAGAGGTATTATATTTTTTTGCAATTTTAAAGTAACATAATTTTACGAAGATTTCTGTCTTCTGGGTTGTTGCGCCGAATTGCGATGAATCGCCCTGAAGACGGAGGCAGTATGCCCTCCGAAACGTTGGTAAACATCTACCATACTACGAGGCGCAACAACCCAGAAGACAGAAATCTTCTATCGCCCTGATGACGGAGGCAGTATGACCTCCGAAACGTTGGTAAACATCTACTTTACTACACGGCGCAACAACTCAGAAGACAGAAATCTTCATACTACCGCTGTGAAAACCTCAAATCATACATATAATTTTACTTTATCGCGCTGCAATTGGAAAGCTTAATCGTCAACAGAAGATCGTCCACATTTTTATCACCGACAATGTCACACTCCAATGACTTACAAAGAGAAAGGTCTCAAAACGATGTATCTCGTTCATACTAAGTAAAGTGTTAAAACAGAGTGAGAATACTTGTAGTGTTAAAACTAATATTTTCTCACGGTCAAGACAATCTGTTACTTTCAGGCTGCAGTTTTAAAATTCTGTTTGCAAAGAGTATGATGTTGCAGGACATTATGAGCAATCTATGTAATTAAAATTTAATAAAATATATAATCATGGTTACGATGACGAAAGCGGTTT